TCTTCTTGTAGAGGTGGAACATGCTACTGTCACCACTCGTATCATCTCACAGATTAAGACAAAAGGGGCAGTTGGCATTGGCTTTACTTTCTTCGGGACGTCCTTCCTCTTCATCACTTCTCATTTTACTTGTAAGTAAAGCATTTAATGGTACTAACGTTAATGCAAATGTTTCATAATTATATTTAAAGTAGTGATTTGGCAAATAGTAAAATTTACAGTTTTCCCCCCTACCACACATGTAGTCAGTCAGGCAAGACAAGTTTGGTGTCTGACATTTGCTTCCCCAGAAAGAAACTGAAGTCAGCTTTTTATTCACCAGCTTCTTGTTCAGATTTTCTCGTTTCACCTTCAATGTTGCAGCAGCTACATTCTGGTGCCTGAGGACCGGGAAAATTTGTGCAAGAAGCTGGAAGAGTGGAAGCCAACTTCAGCCTCAATAACCCAGCTGCGTAGGAATATGAATACAATATGAATGCAAAAATGTTGAAATTTCTTAAAATGCCCATCCCCACTAGTAAATTAGTTGCTCAGTGCTTACCCGTTCAGAAGAAAATTAGCAAAGTCGGCGTCCATCTCAAAGTCCTTCTGGGCTCTAAGCTGTCTACATCTTTCAAATGCATCGCCACTATTTACTCGCATTTTACTCCAGTTTGTTTGCTTGCTTTCATGGCTGCAGCATGCTGTGTTTGCCTGCCAGTGTGTTTCATGTCTGGCAACTCGGGGTGTCGAAATGGTACTGTGAAATGGGCAGTAGGTGTGATCACAGGCCAAAACACAAACAGACTTTCCGCTCTGGAACAGAAATTTCAATGGAGTACATACTGGCTGTAGCATTGTTGTTGGAGAAGCCAATATTTCAACTTAGTATGTTTCCTTAATCCCTGATGATGTATCATGGTCATTTTATGATGTACTAGTAAATGTTACATTTTTCTTATAATGTTTTATATAAATGTATTATTCCCCAAGGATACCATAGACTACTTGCTACGTATTACTCTGACACTGTAACATGGGCAACATTTCTGTTTCAGCTGGAGATTCCAAAGTGTATGAGAGAATATTGGACTACAACAAAATAATTGAAGCACTGGCTCTTCCCAGAAGCCTTCCTGACACTAATCCTTATCGTTCTACCGCCTGTGAGTGTTCTTTTAAATCACCTTCAAATTTATGCATTAAATATTCTTTATGAGTTATAAATGTCTTAATGTCTCATGAATAGGGTCATCATTAATGAAAACTATTACAATGGTTAACTAAAACTAAATAGTAACTATAAAAAGGTGTGGAAGTGCAATCCTTTTATGTCAAAACCTTAAATACCCATGAGATGGCAATGTCTTTGAACTGGGCAGTCTACTGTTGTGCTGATTTAGCACTGCAAAACATATCAGAAGTAATCCAATCGAGAATCACAATCTGGTTTCTGACAAAATTATTATTATATTGAACTATTGTATTGAATCTAAATAAAAAACTTTATTAAAACTGAAACCAAAATTAAAAAATACATTAAAACTATAGTAACCCTGCTCATGATACCTTTGTCCTCAGCGGATGTGACCACTCGATTCGATGAGGTCTTCTGGTTTGGAGATTTTAACTTTCGCCTGAGTAAAGACCGGGGAGGCATAGAAGCTATTTTGAACCAGCACATCAGGGAAGACATGGGCCCTCTCCTCCAGCATGATCAGCTGTGCAAAGAAATGAAAGACGGTCAGTCTGGGCTGGACTTGAACTAAACAAAGACTTTGGAGATTTTCCACAGAAAATAAATCTAACTTTAAACCTTTACTTTACCCTCTATATGGCTCCTTTTGCACATACAGTTTTAATACTGTTTGTAAGATTTTTTTTTTCTGATGTCTCTTGAACGAACCCAACCTGTAATTCTTGTTCATAGGTTCCATCTTTAAAGGATTTCAGGAAGCCCCTATCCACTTCCCTCCCACCTACAAGTTTGACATTGGCTGTGATGTTTATGACAGCACATCCAAGCAGAGGACACCCTCATATACAGTGAGGAAACTTTGTGCTTAGCCCGTCTTAAAAGTGTGTAGATACAACTTGCACTATTATTTGATTATTTATTTATTTTTTTATTTTTGGTAGGATCGCATCCTTTTCAGGAACAGACAAGCGGATGATATCAAAGTGGTTAAGTACACCTCCTGCTCATCTATCAAGACCTCAGATCACCGGCCAGTCATTGGCATGTTCCAGGTCAAAATTCGGCCTGGTAGAGACAAGTAAGTTCACTCTCTGTCTAGGAGGCATTGAACACATTTGAACTTTGATGGGCTGACAGCAAAGAGGTGCTTTTAGCTGTTTTTGAATTGATTAAAAAATGGTTAATGTTAAGGTCTATAAGTAAAAGTAATTTAATTTGAGGCACTACTGCAGTATTGGTTCCCAAACATGTTCTTGAACTCCTGCTTTGTACATTTCAGTGTTTAGTGAACTGCTCTAACACACCATCCCTAGGAAAGTATTGTTCATGAACTGATTAGAGCAGGACAAACATTAAAATATGCAGGGGAGAGGCTACTCCAGGACCAGTGTTGGGAATTACTGCTTCACAGAAACATGGTAATGCTCCTGTGAGACACTAAAAGTAGAGATGGCAGAAAATACAGAAGCATCCAAACAAATCTAGCCTGAAATGAGACAAAAAGGTTGCAGCTCAACTTAACAAAACGAGGTAGCCACACAAGTATCACTGAATGTTAGTCATGTTCTTGGCAATATAGTACAATACGGATCAGTATCGGTTTCAGCTGATACTCAGGGTTTCAGTATCAAAATAAAGGTAGTACCTGCTTTCCAGCATTCCATTGGGAGCGGGCCAGTTTGACCGACCTGTGTACCTGGAGGGCATCAGGAGGAGGATCACTAGAGAGTTGAAGAGGAGGGAGGCTGTGATGAAGAACCAGAGCAACAGCACTGTCTGCTCCATCTCCTGATGCTGGATCAGCAGGCCTGGAGCGGTACGAACTGTGAGACTGCATTCTCCTGTGCTGGGCTACGGACTCAGGAAGCTGGACTTTCAGGACCAAAGGGAGACTCAATTTTGGGAGAGAGTGTTTGGCCATCATCCAGGTCTTCAGGCCCTGTTTGCCACACCCTCACAGGAGCTTGGAAAAAGGCTGTGCCTGGACACTCAAGCCTAACAGCTAGAGTTGTTTTACTTAACATCCATGCCTGTCTTTTTTTTTCTTTTTATTGTTTTGTACACTTCTATGTAAGGTTGGACGAAACGTTTCTTACAACTCTGCATTTTCAAACTTAAGCAGCGTTCAATGGCCTTGTACAATTACATCAACAGCTCAAATCTCTATTTCATTGGAACAAAAAAAAATGTACCACCACTACAAAGCAGATGACAGCTGATTTTGATTCTTATGTAACTGTTTCACGGATCTCATCTATGAACATTATCCAAATAATGCTTGAAATAAGAGGAATATTTTAGTATTTCAGATGTCTACTGGTACTCTTTTCCAGTAGCAATTTACAGGAATGTAATCATTTATGGACCATCTGTTTGAAAGATTAAGTTGTTTTATTTATAAACTTAAAACGTACGTTATATCTGATAGTGGTGTGCTAATTGGAAAAGTGCAACCTAGGCTGAAATCATGCTCATTGAGACTGAACAGAGAGGCTCAGACTGGACTTTGGTCCATTGCCTTAATTTGTTGTCCAAATTAGCTTCTTGCTTACTTGATGTCAATGTCAACTGGCTGTGCATGTGTGAGAGCAGGGCTGATTTTGACCGACAAAGTAATAGACTAACAAAGTAACTGTACTCCTCTTGCATGGACCTCAAATAACCAGTGTAACAGTGAATCGTGTATTCACATCACATTCCTCACTCCTGATGGAAAGTGCCTGAGATCTTGTTCATGATTGCCTCTGGGCCTTTTCTAGTACATTCTGTTGTTTGAAACCAAATAATAGCTTGTTCTAAATGTTTACAATGTTATTTAAGTAATACAAAGCAGCTATTTCTGACATGTAGTGTCGTGTGGTGTTTCAGAAGTATGTTGATTCACTGTTTTCTTTTGATGCACAATATATTAGTATTATCAGCCTGATAACTAAACAGATAACTTGGCGTCCTGCGTTTAAGTTGGACTCTGAAGCACATGTAGTCACTTGTGGGAGGAAATTTTCATTCTTGTAGAAAGACACTGGGTGCAGCACATTTTCATGTAGCATATAACCGCTGACAGCTGTCATTTACTAAAGTAAGTACACTGACTTTCGCCACAAACTACATTTGTTAGATATTTAGGTTTTAATCAAAATTTTGCGGCTTATAAATAGTGTTAAACCTTTATACAACCCTTTCTGAGTAAGGTGTGAACATTTATAAATCCTTGTTTATCTGTTGTTGTGTTTTTTTTTTTTTACTAAATGCAAACCCAGCTTCATGTTCTATCTCCAGCTCAGTCCCTGCTGGTGAAATCACTAGTGAAATAAATAGGCTAACACAGACCTTGTTTAGGATTGATGGCTTGGTGAGACATTTCAGTGTTGTTCCTTTTGAATGAGCTTAATTTTTTTAGTGTTAGCAATATTTTACCACTCACTGTCTCTAAAAATACGGAACGGTGAGGGCCTTTAAACACTCATGAAGGGTTTTTTTCCTTGAAATTTTAAGATTAGTCTCAAGTGCATCAATAGGTACTGTTGATCTTGTTAGTCACTTTAGTCAGTTATATATCCCTGTTCTTTATTCTTAAGAATTATTTCTATTCACACTGTTGTGAATGGCTTTTGATAATAGTGTATGCTAAATAATGTAAAATGTCTATGTAAAGCAATGAAAACATGATATTTTCTTAAAATAGTTTAAATACTCAGTTTATGAAATTGGTACTGACCATAATAAGGTGTTGAGTATCTTTTATCTTATTGGGCCCATAAATCTCTACTCTTTTAAAGTCCAAACACAGATGAAAACTTGACTAAATCAACCAATACACAAATACTGAACATGTATGTAAACCACATTTATGAACAAAAACAACAAAGACACTTTACACAGAAAAAGACCTGTGGAAATTCACATGATAAGAGTTACAGCATAATTAAGATTTGAGAAGTTAACAGAAACTGTAAAACTATGATGAAAAGAAGTATGAGAGGGATCTATATTTTATTATATGCACTGATGTGAACATAAGACTGTAAGACTGACTCCACATCAGACTTTCTAGGAAAGATGTTTGTAAATGGTTGTCTGGGCATGCTGGTAGTATATTTTTGCCATATCGCCCAACCCTAGCAAAAACACATCAACTACAACCTTGAAAGTCTGGGAAACAACATTGAATTGTCAGTTCTTCGGACTGCATGATAGTCTTTCTATGTTTCTCATAACAGACTTGTTTGAAAAGTTCTTAGTTTATTCTTCCTAAAAAGATTTCTGCATGGTCACTTTTTCCAGTACCTGAGTTTTTAAATCTTTTTTAGGGTAGACACAAGTTATATTGATCATTTTATATATAGTTTAGTTAAAAAAAATCCGAAGTTGATGTCAACATTGAGTTGCCATTGTTTTTTTAGAGAAATCACACCAACACACTAAAAAGTGTGATAACTAAAATATCTTTAAATAAACAATGTTTAAAGCCTGCATTACAGTATTTACTGAAATTATTGAAAGATCATGTATTTATAGCAGTGCCTGTATCAGAAGCACATGTTGGCTGAATCACTTTAACCAATTCACTTCAATTAAACTGTTTTCCAACATACATTCAATGCACTAAATCAGTATCTTTATCAGCACATGGCCAGGAGACTGGATTAACCTGTTGCATCACATTAATGTATCCAAACCAGGTCTTTCAAAATTACAGCTTATAGACCACTGAAGTCATGTAGCTTTCTGTAATCAGCATCATTCCCATATTAAAAAAAAACTCTGGGTCATTTTTCTATGACAAACATTAATGGGATTTTTGAAAATTTCTGCTATTGCATCCTGTGGTAAGCTACATGGTTTTAACCCCTAAGATCGTTAAGGTTAAGCAAAAGGTTCTAAACCCGATGCATTTTGTTCTCCGTTCATACAAAATATGAGCACTGCTACATCCATGCTAATAGCAAGCTGCCACTCCTGTGCATTGAAATAATGTTGCTTGAAAGTAAATCTATTATTATATTTTAACACTTAAATTATAACTCCAGCTACTGCAGATGTGCTCTACTGGTTTGTTAGTGGTATTTTAGTGTGGTTGCCAGTCTTATGATGTCAAGTGCACAGTAATGCAAATTCATGTTTTGACTTCTTAACAACCTTGTAATTCAGAAGATCCAGTGACATTCAGTGGGTAAATGTACGTAGAACACAATGTGTCGGGTTTGGAATCTGTTTGGTTGCCACAGAACCCAACAGCATTGATTTTCAACACATGACTTCAGGGGTCTATAGTCCCCTGACATGATACTGCAAAACTGCATTAAATTTGGACACTGGATTTAAAGCAAAACCATGCAAAAAATGAGTCAATATAAGTCCTTTGGGGGCAAAATGAAACTTGCTTCTAGTGCCTCATCTCCCCACAGATAAAGAGTAGTTTTAAGGTCACTATACTAAGCTCTATACAGCAGAGACACAACTGCAACTTCAGTGTCCACCGTCACACTGCACTCCAGTGCCAGTTAACGGGTTGTACCGTAGGTCAGTCCTTGGTGTAAGCAAGTATAATCGCTGCCAAGTGATGAACTCCTACCGGAAGAGACGGTACATACGAGGCAGACGGCCGTCTTTGCTGGAGAGAGCAGCCTGGATGTGCTCATAGGAGGGCAGTTCGGTCAGGTCCCCCAGAGCAGCAACAGCTGGCTTGCTACGTAGCATCTTGGTGGTAACTCTTTTGATGTCACTGGCTGTAACATTACCTACAATAAAGGACAAAGTGTAAATGTCCAGTTAAGTAAAGTCAGCCAAAAAATTGCATCTGAACTACAGGCCAAAGGCACCAAATAAAACAATTTTAAAATCAGTTATTTATGTATTGTTTCTGCAAATATTTAATAAAACCTTTGTACCCTGTGGTAATGAACACATCACATATGGTAGTAGCAGTAGCACATTTTCCATTATCATTTGAAAAAAAAAGTTTTTAAAAGTTTTTAATGGTAATTTACATCCAAAATTTGCATCCAAACATTTGCCTTGCAGTGTTAAGTCATACACAAAGTTTATGTTGATTTAGTGAAAAAAAATTAAAACATTCACTACAAAGAACAAACTACTGATTATTTGCTGAATCTAACATAAAAATATGACATAAAAGGTGGCCTCTGCAAAAGTTATTGCACATTTTACATTTAGGTTTTTTTATGTTTAACTCAACCAATAAATAGAAATTAATATTTAAATTAAGATTGCACAAAAATGCCATATTTAAGTTCTTCCTTGTAGAGGATGTGTTAACTTTCACTTACAAAAGCAAAAATATCATTTGATGGGGGAATCCAAACTTGTGCGTATGGCTGTAGGTCTAAAATGTATAACGCAGCTCAGAACAAGACTCACGCCTGAGATCAGCTCACCCTTGGATTGTAGTAAGGTTTGTGTATATATGCTACTGTCAGTCAGATTCAGTGTGCATAGACAGTTGTGGTGCTGCTAGCAAAAACAAAGTAAACAGTGTATATATTGTGCTAATTTTGATCTATAAAATCATGTGGTTCAGAATATTCAGCAACTGTCACTGAAGGCTTGCCCTACTTTTGATCAGTAGAGTGCACAAAAACTTGTCTGTCCCATTAAATACAACAGAAAAAAAACGTGTGTCTGTCTGTAATAAAGCAAACAATGTGAACCCCGCCTTAGTCGGAGGACTGAATGGGAATCTGTACTTACTAATGAGTTGGCACAGCTCATGCGGCAGCTTTCTTTTGCCTGTGGCCAGAACCTGCCGTCCGACATCCTCAAAGATGACAGGCCTGGACTCCAGGTTCATCATCAGCATGGATTTCAGCTGAGTCTTTGCTCTTTCCAGTTCCATCTACAAATAAGCCAGAAACTGGTTAAAAAAAACCATTCTGAATTATACTGAAGATTTGTTAGAAGTACATATACACAAAAGTACCTCTCCTGCTGTCCCAGCCATCTGGATAAACTCCCTTGTGATTATCTCAACCATTTCTCGCACCTAAAAAAATATATACATTCATGTTCTATTAAATATGTCCATCCGAGATAAAACAATTAGCTGTAGTAAAAAATCTCTGGCGCCTTCTAATCTGTCCAAGTGTACCTGTCGTGGGTCTGCGCTGGCATGAATACAGAGGAGGCCACTGTCCTCATAGCTGTGATGGTACGATGTAGCATTGTACATCCAGTGATGCCTGGAAAACCAGGTATAAATCATGATCAGCTTTAATCGATTAATAACAAAGCTAGCATTTCTAGGTGAAATGCTCCCTTCTGATGTTGTAAGATGAGTGCTGATGTACCTGTTGAGAACGTTTAGATAGAGCCGCGTAAACATGCCTTTTCCTGGACCGCCTGCTGAGAAGGATCCTCCTCCTCCCATCATCATGTTGAGGACAGCAAAAGGGATGAAGTCATCCTCCTAGCAAGAGTTTAAAAGAATTGCACAGGTGTTACATCAGCAGGCAACATGTCAGCTGAATGGCTTAAAGGCACTTGACGGCTTTTGAAGACGCACCAGAAAGGAGCAGCTCTCTAGGCCGATCATGATGTGAGTGAGCTCTGGGATGGGTGTGGGTCCGAGACTCACATCAGACATATCCTTCTCTATCTGGCAGATACACAGGGCAGTCAGTCACAATGCATATGGGGTTAAAGCACAAACATATGGAACAGTATTTATATTCAATATATAAAAAGAAGGGATCTATTAGCAGATTCGCTGGATGTAGTGACAAAGCTTGGCTAGTGAGGAAGAAGCAGGCACTTCAGCCCTGCAAATAAATTTAAGATTACCAGTAATAAATATTATCAAACAATCGAATCTAATCTATGGACTACATTTTGATTAACTGACTAATCTAAGTATTATGTTCTTATTTTGCCAAAAAGTAAATTAAAATAGCGGCACACAAAATTGTAATTTATTTAACGCTGCTGTGAAACACCGGCTTTGCGTGTGCTGCGTTGTACCACGCTGTTACTTTGGTGGCTGAAAAAACTCCACATTTTGAACAATCTGTGACTTTTCCCTCTGGGTAATGAAAATGCTTGTCACAATCTAAATCTCTAAGTTACAAACCTACGTTCTGTGACATTCACTAAAGTGCTCAACGCCATCACATCTAATCTGCAAGGCTGTGCACACATATAAAAGAGGTGGAATAGCTCCCATGATACTGACACCAAACTTTGGTCGTTTGCACATACATTGTGTATAACTTTCAATGGAAGACCTTCATTTGTTTGCCTTAAGCTTTTTTCTTTCCATTTATGTTGTGTGTGTTTTGTAGTGAATTTAGGGTAATTCCACAATCAACATTTGCTGAAGTCTTTACCCCAAGTGGCTTCACTGGAAGTTTGCAAAAGGTCCACATTACCCTCTAATGGCCTAGATACATGGCAGAATTAGAAACCTCCACACCCCTGTGGACTTTCTTGGTAAAGCGCACATTAAGTCTATGTGTCTGCAAGTCCGGGGGAGGACTGGAGATCTAGACTGGGCACTTCTTTTCTGATGCAACAAATAATAAAGGTTACATGGCCCCCAACACTTTCTTCATTAACTAAGCTCTGCAATGGTGCTTGTGACAACATGTGAGCAGACTTTATGTCTCTAGCGCACTTTAACTCACCTTTATGATGCCTCCTGTGTACTGAGCCACAGATCGGTCCACTTTCTCAGGTGTGCTCGTGCCCCACACTGGCTTCACATTCAGAAGGTACTTCCTGGCACACTCTACCAGCTGCTCATGCTCGATCCCCACACCTGCCAGCACCATGCGCTCTGGGCAGTAGTAGCTCCGGAGGTATGTATGGAGCAGCTTCCGGTCAATCTTGTCTACGTTCTCAGCAGGGCAGAAACGAGGCAAACCTACTGTGTTCCCTCGATATGCTGCCTAAACCCAGCAGAGGATGAAACTTGAGTGCCAAGAGGTGGTTAAACGATCTTGGCCTGGTTTTCTGGACCATGATTAAGCATAGTCTTAGACCAAAACAGGATGAGAATTCCCACTGAAGGACCAAATTAGCTCAAGACGTGGCTTCACGTGTCCAGAAAACAAGACCCAAAATACAAAAAGAAGGCACAAACAAAGACAGTCCCACTCACTGCATGGATCATTTCGGTCAACAGAGGCTCCGGATCGGGTCTCATATTCAAATCTTCCAACTCAAACTTCACAGTCATGCGGGTCATCTCAATTTCCTCATCTATACAGAAACACAACCACCGCTTGCTTAGACATAGCTCACAGAGTCGAAGAGATACACCTGTTCCAGAAAGCGTGGCACATGCTCACCTAATAAACGTGGCTGCAGAACAGCATCTGACAACAGGCTAACCACAGTGTCCAGGCCCTTTACTTCAGCTGAGACTGCATACATTGTTGTGTCCCTGAAAACAAAAAGAACTACATGTGGAACAACAGCAGTGTTTGTTATACAGCATCGGACAATATTTGAATCAGTTCTTAGTACAACTGAACAAATCTTTCAGAAAAGCTAGCAGATCAGTTTATAAACTTAAAACTCTTTAAATTAAATTGTAAAGAAAACCTGGATGTCTGGCAGTCACAGATCCCTCCATGTTTTTCCAATGACAGGAGAATTTCATCTTTACTTCCATACTGGGATGTAGACTGAAAGTAAAAATGCAGCACATTAACTGGGCACTGCTTCTTACATCTGCGCAGTTCAAAACAAGAATGTCACCAGGAAAACCCAAGGGACCAAAGCTAAAAGGTCACTTACAGAAAAAGCAAGCTTTTCCAAAAAGTGTGCAATCCCACTGGGATACTTGGCTTCATGGCGAGAACCTGAATTTACCAAAACTGAAAAGAGAAAAAGGCCAGGATGTAAGAAAGCACACAGTCCATATGGAGTCATGCATCGGTGGCACAGGGCACTCTGTACTTACTACCAACTGTGCAGAATTGTCCAAATTTGTTTTGAGATGCAACTCGGAGGCCGTTCTCTAAAGTGGTGATTCTAGTCTCGTGTTTCTCCTGCCCATCAACTGAAGCAAACAGAGGCTTGGGGATACCGGGTAGCGGTGTGGACAGAGAGACACTGGGGTATCCACTGCTACTGCTGTACTGCCTACAGGCAGCAACGCCAAACCTACAGCAGCACGACAGTAAGCAAATTATGAACTTATCAGTGTTTACAAAATACATTTCACTTTTTCTTTATCACATTACCGACATGCCCAAAACAGTTTAATCCGTTAAAAGCAGTAGCGGCGATGAGCTGAACTCCTCTGGTAGTGAAACAGATCAAACAGTCTGAGAAAAACAACTAAAGTAAACTAGCCAGCTAGCTTAGCTTACAACAGCGTAGCCAAGTAAACAATACCATTTGAATTTTCCCGTTCCACCTTAAACGGTGCAGCAGTTACATCCTGGCGTCTAACAAATACACCATTTAAGGTGGAACGGGAAATTAAAAAAAGAAGCAGGAGAATAAGAAACTCACTTCAGCTTCGCACTAACATGTCACACAACACTGAAGTAGAATATTTTCTCCTGAAGGGCTGATTAAAGTGGCGGCTGGTGTTCTGGGTGTGTTAAATGATAATAAAGGGTGAGAGAAGTGAAGTGTACCTCTGAACGCGGCTCCAACACCTGAAGCTGGACATGTGAGCCGCCATGTCGGATTCACTGTGACCGTGACGATGCCCGGAAACAGTTCATGAACAGTTCCTCTGCTCAGTGTTGCTTAGAAACGGAAACGCCTCGAGGGCGGGTCCGTCCCAATTCTTACCCTTACAAGCCTTCAAGTCTGCACTCTGAGGACGCGGAGAAGTGTAGGAGGGTGCAAGGATAAAAAAGGGTGCAGCTCTAATTACTCAGATGCCTCCTCGATGCCGAATGCGCTCGTTTACTCCATATAGATTAACATGAAATGTTTCATCACTGGTGTCATATTTTTAAAGTCAACCTGAAATATCTCTCTCTCTCTCTCTCTTCTCTCTCTCTCTCTCTCTCTCTCTCTCTCTCTCTCTCTCTCTCTCTCTCTCTCTCTCTATATATATATATATATATTTGCTTTTCTATCTTGTCAGTCCATGTCCTTGTTTATGTTAAGCATAAGTTAAAAAATAAAATTCTTATTTTACAGCCCTTTAAAGATGGCTTTACATAGTGAAACTTTAGTTGCTTGAAAGCTACCTGAGATTGAATTGCATTTGAGTTGCATGATGTAAAGCGTTCTGCAACTCATTTGAAACCTGCAACAGTTCTAGGCACTCTCCCCCAAATAAGCCATCTTCTGTTTTATTTTCTTGTCCACCGATCCAGTGAAATCAATGGTTTAAAAGTATGTCATGAGTAGCATGTAACAAAAAACAAAGTTGCGCGCAACACAACTAGTTAACCAAATTAGCGGCTCATATATATAAATATATATATATATATATATATATATATATGTGATCATTTTTTTTTATTTGTTCCCTGTTAATCAAGCGGCATTTTATCACAACATTACAGAACTGCAGGAAATAAAAAAAAAAAAAAACCACCTCTGTGCAATAATTTTTTTAGCCAATGTTAAACCAGCGAGCCACATCTTCCTTTGTTTGCCTGTTAAGTTTAAATTGGAGTCATCATTTAGCAATAATACAGCTGGATCCACGGGAATTTCTTGTCCAACCAGGGCAGATAATATGGTAGTAACCTTTATCCAGAAGTCATTAACATCCCCACATTCCCACACCATGTGCAAAAAAGTTCCCATTGGTTGTTGTGGACAATAGTTGCAGTAGGGATGTACTGCAGTTTTTGTAAGAAAGTGTTTTCGTGGTGTCCAATATAACCTATGGCAATATTTAAAATGGATCAGTTGATGATTGGGGTTCTTTGATGCATGAAATATATTTTGCTATACTATGTTCCAATCAATTAAATTAACAGATAGTTCCTTTTGCGGCTCATATATTTTTAATACACTATCCGTATATTTACGTATTTGAAGCATCTTCTGACAATTTTTTCAGCTGTCATTGCTTTTCTTTTTTATTTATATACCAGTCTTATCTATCGATGGTTCGTTATTGTAAACTTTACATCAACTAGTAAAGGTTTAGCCGCCCATCCATTAATCTCTAGTGAGCCCCTGACAGTGAAATGTTCATGGAACTTTAGCAACTGCATTAGCTAGCAAGCTAATAGTAACAACTGTTTAAACGGCTGCTTGTGCCAGAGTTTATCCTGCTTTGTTAGCATGCTTGTGATTTACGTAGCTAGATTCATTTTCTCCTTTTTTGCTGCCCCACAGAGCTCAGATTTCTTTGGGATCCAGTGGATGAAAATTATTGCAGAAGAGGGGACAGAGACATGGTCAGAGATAAACTTGTGCTTCTAGGACAGGATGAGTGAGACATCAAGTAGGCTACAACCATAACCCACATAGCAAGCATATATCAGTCCGTTGGCATGATAAGGTCGGCACCCCGCTGACCGCTTGCCACTGCTGGTTCAGCCTCAGACCATCCAGTTCACTGTCCTGCATACAAGCTTTAATCTCCTCAAACAGATTTTGCATGCATAGAGCCTTTTATTTTGGAATAAACTAAGACAAGTATTACAAACAACTGAGAGAAAAAATAATGACAAGGCCTAATATAAAATTTAATAAGAAGATTTTACAGAAAGTTATGTTGCTGATGCTGTGCTGGATCAAATTATTCACAAAGTATAACTAAAGAAAGGAAGGAAGGAACGATAAGTAAATTGGACTGTGAGTGGAAAATGAGCAATGCTAAGTGGAATTTTGTCTAAAAGACTGCTTAACCACTGGTGGGCCGCCCGGAACACGCTGAGCGAAACACCAGTGGACTGCCAGCTTTGCCATCAGTGGGCCAACAGTGGCTCATTATCCTCTTGCTATCAAAGAATGGCTACTTAAACATTTAAAGGCTTAATACACACAACAGATAAAACTCAAATATGTAGTGAAGAACCCTAGATATATAGATAAAAGACATATAGATATAGAAAAAAGGAACAACAGTGACAGTGGAAAAAATATACAAAGATGTTAAAAGTGCTGCAAGTATATAAATCACACTTCAATGATATGTTGCCAGATCAATTTGGTGTACAAAAAATATGAGCTGCTAATTTGGCTAACTAGTGAAGTAATCAAATGTGTTTTGTGCAGCTTTGTTTTTGAATTGCTTCCTGTAACTGTGAAGTTGCACAGAGCTTATGTTGCAGGCAACTCACAACAGGCAACTGGCTGCATGAAAGTTTCAGTGTGTAAAGCCAGCCTTAAGAAGCACAACTCAGCTAATGCTTGCTGGATAGTTTGCAAAAAACTGAGAAAGTAACATTATTTAAATCTAGTTGGCTTTCTGTCCTTAATCAGCAGACCTGGATGAAATGGAGGACCCTGCATATAAGTACTGAAACTAGTAGGGGAGTGTGGGAAACAACCTAACAGGGCAATTTAACACAGACTTTTTATGTTGTTATACAAGGTCAAACAGTGTGTACTTCTGGCCACATTACCACATTTCCTTGCTGTGGTCTCCCTTGAAAATTCAGAGCGATTCATCAGTGTTTTAAAGACATCTGTACCAAAGAGTGTTTTCAGGGCATGTAAGTGACTTAAAAAAAGATTTTTTTTTTTTTTCTGTTACTGAGCTGTTTGTGTAAAGCAAAACAAAATCTAACCTTATATTACTTTAATCACCATCTTGTTGTCTACAATGTAGCACTGTTTTGAAGCATGTGACAAGCTCACAGAAAGAGCTAGCTAGGTTTACGTACAGTCTCCGTACTGCGGGGTTAGTTGTTTCACACTTTTACACCTAAGCCACCTTTAGTTAACAAAGACAAATAAAGTATTTTTTGTCTTTTTGTTCCATTTGTTCCTCACTGATTTTAAAAAGAAAATACAAAAACATCTGAAAACAGAGAGTTTCTTCAACTTTATTAGTATCTTTCAGATGTTAATATTTTGGTTTTAAAAAAATATACTAATGAAATTGGCAGTAACATTTGATAAAGCTGTAGTCTTTCAGAAACAGTGATCCATATTTTACCAATCTGTGATGTTTTTCATTTGCTGTCCTACACTGGACAAAAATTAATTCAACATTGTTTGACACACAGTCTCATGTCAGTTATCATATATAATTTACTGTATGTGTGTGTGCATGTGTGCATACGTGTGTGTGTGTGTGTATCAATTGAGCTGTCTGTCTGTTTTATAGATAGATTATATATAATGGACTATGGTTGCTAAACACATATTATTTGTAGAGTTCTCAGCCTACATAAATTATTGCTCTATGTGCTTCATTGACAATGATGTGAATTTTTGTTTTTTCTTTATTAAATTACCATTCAATGGTACCGTCGATGATGCTGCATAGCCAGTTGTTTGTTTCTTCCCAGCAAACACACAACATTGTCGCAACACTGTCTATTTTCTTACCATGTTGCTACAACACTGTAAAAAGGTGGTGCTGTTTACATTGTTGGAACATGGTTGTCACAACGTTGTCACAACCTCATCATTCAATAATGTTGCCGTATGGTGTTGTGACTACCTGTTGGCAACTTAGCAAAATTCCATGAAGTTCCATTCACAACATAATGGAACTTATGAGGATTCTAGAAGGTTGTGACAACGTACTGACAACATTGCCACTACATTGTCACAACTTTCTAAGGAATTGCATTTCACCTTGGTGAGAACGTTGCGGCCACCAAAACAATAGCTTGTCACAACATTGTCCCAACGTAACTGTGTATGCTGTGTTTAGGCCCTGACATCTACCTCTACAGATCTATAATTACATATCATTTGTGAAACTTTAAATATTGACTCTGTGCTTTTTAATAACATGACTCAGTGGTAGTATGTACAATAAAAATAAAAATAGGCCTAGAACAGAACCCTGTGGTACACCATAAAGAATATCATGTTGCCCAGAAAACTGTTTACCCACACTAGTTCTCAGGTAACCTGCAAGAGGATCCTACCGCTTCTGCTGTCACATTTGTATCAACAACTCACTCTCTACCCCACTCTATACACTATATAGCCAGCTAGAAGCATGTCTGTCTTCTTTTACACATCCAAAATCAGGATTCCTTCCATCTTCATCAACCGTTCAGTCCTCTGCCCTACCCTGCCAAGGGTTATCTTTTTTACTGCTTCATAGCACCACTACTAGAATGTGTGTCATCTTGAGAACAAAATAAGCTACACTAAGTGACTGCTATAAAACAAAAGAATGAAGCGCCATAAAATGAGAATGAAAATGCATGTCTTTGGAGAGTGTCAGGAGAATATCAGTCCAACATGCTGTTTACTCTTTGACCTACTTACCTTTGAAGTGGTTGGGGAAACTAATTTGTGCTGTAAAACAAACTGGAGTTCTTGTTCATTCTTGAGGACAATGACCACAACATCGATACTCCTTCACATATGCTTTACAAAAAAAAAATTACTTACTGGAGTCTTTCCCCTCTTAAAAATAAAGGTGCCAAAAGGAGCCCTAGAAGAACCACTCTTGGTTCCCTAAAGGATCTTTTCAGTGGCTAGTGTTTTTAAAAAACCCTTTTTAAAGATCACAGAACCTCCACACAATGTAAAATTTCAATCAAAAATGTACCAGATCTCGGTGGCAAACTGTGAATATTAGAGCTAGACCTTCAGTTTGGACCATAC